GTTTAAGAGATTAAAGCTTTTTAAAAATATAGTGATAAAAGAGGCAATTTTTAATTAAATGGAAATTTTGCTTATGCAGAGCATCTCATTTTCCCACAAAGCCACATATATGAAATACCATTATGACAATTTTGCCATCCACGTAACTAAACAAAGTGGTGAACAGAAGAAATGGTGCAGAAACATTCTTCTACAATGAAGCCATGGTTTTGCCATGAAGGAGGAAAGAGACAAGCTGGCCAGTATAGCAATCTCTTCCTGGATGAGAATTCTGCCAGTCTTGGGAAGAATATCCTCCTTTATTGAGAGAAAGATTTTGCTTTTGCAAACTCCAAATGGCTATTTCCTACAAAGCAGGTGCCCAGGGGGCCTGGAGAAGATGCTAAACCAGAATGAGTGCCAATAGACTCGTCTCACCGATTGTCTCTCCTAGTTTTCTTCTCTGTCTTAAGTCAGCTTCATAGCGTGTTCCTTACACAGAACAAGGGAACTTAAAAGGCTGTTCACATGATAGGTATAAAAACGTACAGATACATACTCCCAGAGTGTCATGCTCACCCTCAGTATGTCTGGTTTCAGGGCCCAAGGTTTGTGGCAATGTCATAGAGAAGGAGCTTTGTGTGAGAGGGCATATTCGTTTTCTATTGCTCATAACAAATCACACAAATGTGGTGCCCTAAAATTACACAAATGTGTTATCTCTAGGTTGTGGGTTAAGAGCCCAGACAGGCTTGATTAAATTCAATGCTTGGGTGGAGGCTTTGGGGATGAATCCACTTCCGAATGCATTCAGATTGCTGGAGAGTTTATTTCCTTGTAATTATAGAATTGAGGTCCCTATTTCCTTGCTGGCTATTAGTCAATGTCTGCTCCGTATTCATGGAGCTCACCTATTTTTTTCTCACGTGTTCCCTTCCATCTTAAAAGTAGTGATCCTTTGCTGTAACCGGTTTGGCTCAGTGGATAGAGCGTCAGCCTGCGGACTGAAAGGTCCCAGGTTTGATTCCGGTCAAGGGCATGTACCTTGGTTTCGGGCACATCTCCAGTAGGGAGTGTGCAGGAGGCAGCTGATCGATGTTCCTCTCTCATCGATGTTTCTAACTCTCTATCTCTCTCCCTTCCTCTCTGTAAAAAATCAATAAAATATATTTTTTAAAAAGTAGTGATCCTTCAAGTCCTCTGACACGGTGACTCTCTCTGCCTTCTTATTTGCCACAGCAGGAGAAAGCTCTCCTCCTTTAAGGGCTCATGTGTTTAATTGGGTCCACCCACATAATCCTGGATATTCTCTGCACCTTAAGGTAAACTGTTCTATGTAACATAGTGTGTTCATAGAACTGCAATCTGATCCTATTCATAGGTTCCTGGGATTAGCAAATCAATGGGAGGTCACTTTAGAAATTCTGCCAACCACTAATAGCTTTGGCATTTTAATAGCTAAACTTCCACTAAAAAATAAATATATTTCATTTTACAATATGACAAAGAATATTTTTTTAAAATGAAGCAGTAGAAGGGGGGAGAAAAAGAGAAAGTAGGTAAAGAAATTTGAGAGCAAAAATCAAGTTGCTACCAAAAGAAAGAGAAGAAGCAATATAAAATGTATCCTTCCAGAATTTCAGATAAAAGACAAAATATAGAACTAAGACCCCCCATGGGGAAAGCCTAGTTTAAAAAAGGCAGATTGAACATAGGTATATCTCTGTTCCCTCTACTTCACTGAAATTACTTAAAATAATAAAAATGAATAAAAATAGTGTAAGTCAAAAAGGATAAAGGAGCCAGGAGAAAACTGAGCAACTCACAACAGAGGCCAACAAAGTTTTGAAAGATGGGAAACAGGTTCATGGAACTGACCAAGCCAAGCAAGGATGCTTAAATTCAGATGCCTCTAGAGCAGCGGTTCTCAACCTGTGGGTCGCCAACCTGTGGGCCGCGACCCCTTTGGGGGTCGAACGACCCTTCACAGGGGTAGCCTAAGACCATGGGAAAACACATATATAATTACATATTGTTTTTGTAATTAATCACTATGCTTTAATTATGTTCAATTTGTAACAATGAAAATACATCCTGCATATCAGATATTTACATTACGATTCATAACAGTAGCAAAATTACAGTTATGAAGTAGCAACGAAAATAATTTTATGGTTGGGGGTCACCACAACATGAGGAACTGTATTAAAGGGTCGCGGCATTAGGAAAGTTGAGAACCACTGCTCTAGAGGATAAACACCAGGGGAGCCCAATTCTTCACTGTGCATTATTTTAATTAAAAAGCAGATAGCATTCCATTTCTCCCCACAAAGCAAACTTTGGTAGCTTTTTGAAAGCAGGAAATAGTCCTCCTGAAAAGTAGATATTTGATATGGCCTCAATCTGTTGACATGCATAAATTCCATTAACAATAGTGCTTGGTGCTTTTTCACTGAGAGCCCTGTGTCCCTAGACTAATTTCTGCTGTCTCAGGGTCAATTCATTAGGTTGTTAATGTATGATCAAAGTTGAAAGAACAGGACTGGCCGGCCGTGGGGCCTACACAGGGCTTCAGGGTTGTTTACCATACTGTGCAATTCTTAGGAACATGGGAATCCTTGCTAATTCTCACTCAATCCCTTAGGATGAAGCAGTTCTCATTCTGCAGATATTTATTCAGGTATTCTTAAGAAGCAGCCTGTCCTTATCTTCATTTTATTTGCTTTTTAGCCTTATGTCTAAATTTTAAGAAAATTTTTCTTAAAATACTAGAGGAATAGAGAGAAATGGGGGATATAATACATCCCTACAGAAAACTGATGCAATAATATACATAGTTTCTTATTAAATCAGAAATATCTGAGTCAAAGTGAAAAGACACTGGCTACAACAGATTGTGGGCAATAAAGGCAATCTTTTTCTGAAGCCATCTCACATCCTTATGATAAAATGATGTCCACACACATACTAGTATGTGCATGTACCTAAACTTGTTCTCAGTCTGCTCTCTTTGCTGGGTTTCCTCTGTTCTACTTCCACTGCTTCTACTCTTTGACATTTCCCTCCTTCTAGTAAAACGCTAAATGTTCACTGAGACTTTTTAAAATATATAATATAAAAATCACTCATGGTTAAATGTCAACCTATTAGAAAAGCTCAGTGCTGTAAAATCTAAATAAAATTTAGCAATGGACTAGCTCTTTTTCTCTCTAGTCACTCATACATCTAATGCACTAGAAGAACCGAGAGGGATCTAAATGAAATTGGGCTAAAGGAAAGAAACCATATTTAAACATAAGCTAGCATGCATTAGCATAATTTTTTCAGATTCCTGATTCTTATATTATCATGCATAATATCATAATAACATTAATAACATATTGAAGGGTTAGTGGTTGGTAAAACTTTTTAAGATTTAATAGATTTTGTACAATCATGCAACCAGGAGCATGCTTTAATTCTAAGGCAACAGTTCCCCAACTCTTCAAATCAACCAGAATTCAGAAAAAATGCTTGAGTTTTCTTTTTATATATTCCATACATATAAATGTACTGTAGGAAAGAGGACACCTATCTCCATTGTAAAGACATAACATGTAACAAAAAAACACTAGCTAAGCTTTCGTATAAATATGTTGCTCTGTGTATAAAAAGGCAATCAATGTATTAGTTGAATACGCCTCAGATGTAAAGATACTACTTTTTGCTTTTTACTTTAGAATAACTTGCCCATTCATTGGAGTGATTGTACAGGAGTAACTAATACCCATTAGATATTAATTGCTTATTTATTAGCACTACCACATATAAGATGCAAAAGCAGTAACAGCAGCATAATCTATAAGAATATGAGTGCTCTCATATGTCACTGAGTAATATAGCTCAGAATCTGAATAAGTTTCCTATTTCAGGGACCCAACATCACCTCAACTTGTGCATGGGTTTGAGCTTGTATTTCCAGTGGCAGGACAAGTTTATAGGGACTACCCATGTTGCTCATGGTGAGCCCTCTACAGCCAAGCAGCAAGCCTTTGTGAGGTGGCTTGTTTTATATGTCTTTTCTAAGCATTATGCCAAGTTCATATTGTCTCTCAGGCTGGTTCTTTTGTATCTGCTAAAAATTGGGGCTTGGGACTCCAACAGTCTTGACCTAATGGCAGATTCCTTAGATGAACTTGGGCTTCATTCCTTTGCTAACGTAGTCTATAAAATTGAGAGTAATGTACCCCTGCCTTTCCTTAATATGTGCTTCACAGACTTCAGTTACTAAGATCAGGGTAAATTTACTTCTGAAATGTGTATTGAATGGAAATCTAGTGGAGAACTTCAAAATACAAGCTTACAGAGTCAGAATAACACAGCACAAAGTATATTACAGATCCTACACAGGCCTGTGCCAAGAACATCTTTGGCATCATTGATGCTCCTGCCTCACAATTTGACAAAGGTGTCCTTTCAGAACTTTATCATCCTAGATTAAAGAAAGCCCAATCAGGGTCATAGCTTCAGCCTAGTGAACATGGAGATCATCACTCCAACATTTTCCAAAGTATAAGTCCTTCCTCAGTACCTACAGGCAAAATTATTATCATCTTCCTCCCTCGGTACTGAAGTTTTAGCTCATAACTCTATGGAATGGTGATAGGTCCTGTTTTTGTTCATATCTGTTTCACCTTAGCCACCCCGGAATCTAACCTACTGCTTAAATTCATTACACTAATAAATAATCAAATGAAGTGAAAACAAGTGGCTTTAGAAAAATCTCTTCCTACATGCTTTTCACTTTAAAGTACCAAAATATAATGTCTTTGACTACTTAGGGAATAGAATAATCATAAATATATAGATAGTTTTAATAAAGAATTTTTAAATTGAGAATTTAAGTCTACAAATGGCTCCTTAAGTTTTTATTCTTACCTAAAGAAACAGAAAGGTTACATAATTCAGTATAAATAGATTGACATGTACAATATGCACCCAAGAAATCGGCCCTAATTTGAGTTATTATAATTAGTACTTACCCATAGCCAATGACTCCCTCTGAGTGAGTCACCAGTAAGGCTCCAACAGTCAGATTCAGCATACTCTCTAGTACTCCAGTCTGTTGAGCGGTGATAACCTGGTGAGCCAAATTCTGTAATTTGTCGCTTGGTAAGGATGGAATCCATCCAGGGCTCCTTACTGTTGGCAGATCACCAATTTCAATGACCATCACTTTTGACATAGTTTCCATGGTGGTTGGTGGGGGAACCCTGTATGAGTTCATTTCCATCATGAGAGGTCTACGTTGACCAGCTCTATAATAACTGGTACAAGGTACAGTTGGGCAATTGCGCTTTCTTTTTGCTCTACGGTCAGCAATGGCCTTTAAGGTTGCTTCATTGCCAGGCATATCGTAAATAAATCTAATTTGGTCTCGGCTAATCTGTAAGAATTCAGTTAGTCTTTCAAGGGTCACCATTTCCCAGCCTTTTTCTAGGACTGAAAACAGCACAGTGAAGGCCAAATGAATGGAAACACCTGAGCGTATTTCAACCAGCTCCTCTCCTTGTAGAACAACATACAAGAGGTTATCCATGATGCTGAAATAGTTGGAACCAACAGACTCATCCAGCAATGAGGAAGTTGATTGAACCAGAGTAGGTGGGATGAAACTTTCCCCTAAGAAAACATGGGGGCTCTGGAGTTCATGGTAGAATACAGCCAACAGAAGTTTGGAGGTACTTTTGTTCCCCAATAGAAAAAAACGCAAAACTTGAGGAGTCTGATCCACAAAGCAGACCTTGGTGGTTTCCCTGGTGGGTAAAATGGAATAGAAAGTGGATACAGACCCTGAAGTAGAGCAGGAAGTATTGGCATTTACACTACTGAAGGTGTCAACAAAACCACTAGTCACAGAAACAACAGGATATAACTTCCTCATTGCCCAAGTGGCATTAACAATGTCAAGAATTAAGATCACTTGGTCAGTCTCTTTGCAGATGTAGCCTTGTATCAGGGATCGGTATGTGCATTTCTGTTCTTCTCTAAATGTACCTATAAAATAAAGAAAAATAAACAGGTGACATGTGAACCACCATTGCTAAAAGATGATTTGCAATCCATCACGTTCATCATCATCTGTAACCACATGAAACATTTTTTGAACACTTCGGTGCGCTAGATACCGAGACTGAAAAGAAATCTTGGGCAAAATATTAAAGACACATACATTAAATAACAGCTATTTAATGTAATGTAAATGTATATGTTATATAATAAATGTAATTTAAAGTTAATAATGGCTGTAACTGCTAAGTGTAAAAACAGTGAATACATAAAATAATTAAGAAAAAGGGAATGATAACTAAGGTCTCCATAGTGAACAACAACAACAATAAAACAAACAGGAGAGAATAGGATAATACTTGAGTCAATGGGTAAAGAAGTAAATTAAGGGAGCTGTAACAGAAAATGTATGGCAATATATTAAAAATGAAGAGGTATATTCTGACCAGATTGTGAAAGAGTTTGGATATCAAACTATATAATTTTCTCATACTTTCTTTTTCTGTATATGAACAGTAAAGAAATACCAGAAGAGGGGGAAAAAGTAATAATTTGAGGAGAGTTGGGGGTAATCAGGGCTAACAAAAATATTTAAAGAAACAGCATTATCCATTATCCCACCATGTCTAATCATCCTGTCTATGAACCCAGAGTAGTTCTTGTTCTGAATCCACAGAGATAAATCTTCCAGCAAAGAATTCCTTTGATTTAAAATCGATATTCACAAAATTGTCTTGTGTTGTTTTCTAGATTTTCGTACTTGCCTTATTGCAAGTTCATCAAAGTTGCCTAAGAACTGCAAGCAACAAATAAAAACTCAAATTATTACTAATGAAGGATTTACTAAATATGAGCATGATCTCTCCTCCTATGTCCTTCTTTCCACATGGTGTGATTAGAAATTTGTGCCAAAGCTGCCTATATATCGATAAATTTAATTACCAAAATGTGGCTGTAAAAGTAAGGGATGTGGTTTACTTGTGCCTCACACTAATAGCAACAGCAGTCAAAATTATAAGGGAAATTGTGAAATACCTTAAACTAAATGATAATAAAATTTTAACGTATCAAAATGTGTGGGATGCAGTGAAACAGTACTTTGAAGGAAATTTATAACGTTAAATTCTTTTTAATAAAATATATTTTATTGATTTTTTACAGAGAGGAAGGGAGAAGGATAGAGAGTTAGAAACATCGATGAGAGAGAAACATTCATCAGCTGCCTCCTGCACACCTCCTACTGGGGATGTGCCCGCAACCAAGGTACATGCCCTTGACCGGAATCGAACCTGGGACCTTTCAGTCCACAGGCCAACACTCTATCCACTGAGCCAAACCGGTTACAGCAACATTAAATTCTTATATTACAAAAGAGTTGTCTAAAAATAATTTCTTATTCCATTACCCTAAATGCTTTTTAAAAAGAACAAAGCAAACCAAACATAAGTAGTAATAAAGTAAATAATAAATATAAAGGCAGAAATCAATGAAATAGAAAAGAAGCAAACAAAATCAGAGAATGTAAGCAAAGCTAAAACTTGTTTCTTAGAAAATATCCCCAAACTGAATAACCCTTCATTAGATTGCTCAAGACAAAAATAAAGAGAACAGAAAACACCATTCCAAGAATTAAGGAAGGATTAATATTACAGACGCTGTGGATGAAGGTTAAGACACCATTACAAACTTACTGCCAACAAATTCAACAATTTAGATGAAATAGACAACTTTCTTGAAAACTGACATAAAACACAAAATTTGAATTGTTCTGTCTCTTAAAGAAATCAAATTCACTAAATTGATATATAAATTATTATTAATTAAGCACATAAACATGATAAAATCTAGGGAAAAGTAATATTAATTAATTACCCAACACACCTCTGTATTACTTTTTTCCTATAGTTTTGTTGCACACTTTTGTAGATCTCCTATATCTGACAAAAATGTTGTAATATTTTCTATAGGGATAACAGAAAGATAATTCAGTTGTTTCTTTAATCTGGATGATTAACATTGTTGTTGTTGTTATCACAATAGTTTAGAAGAGTTCCTTTCAGCTTCACAACTCATACCTGGTAATATATAAATGTTTAAAATTGTTGTCAAATATGGAAAATTTCCTAGAAAGGTTTTCTTATGTGTGAGCTATAATATTTGAATAAATTTGCACAGAGTAATTTTTATGACACTGTCACTTAAAACATACTTCTCTTTCACCTCTCATGTTCTTCTCAGTCCTTAGGATTCATTCACATCACAGTGTGACCTAGGGCCTTGTTCCTGTGTGTCATAGCATCGTCAGTTGACATGGGTGGCTAGTAAGAACTTTACATAGATGTGATTGTGAACCACAAAAACCACATCCTATTAAACTTACATCAAATGAATATCCAACTCAACTTCCCTTAGTTCGATCCTAAAAGTGCTTGTGGCTATTCCATTGCCACCCAACCTCCTAGTACTATGATGAAGAATTTAGAGTGGAAACAATATTATTTCAAATTTTAGTTAAAAATATTCAATTTTAAAAATTTTACAAAAACATAGGGCTATATAGACATATTGCTCGGATTCCTTTTGGAGTCTTAGAAGTGGCCCATGTAAGTGAGGAACCTGAAACCTAAACTTGATCAGCTTCATGGGACTTCCCTGAAACCTCAGTCAGCGGTGCTGTGGAGAGCAAATGCACTCATGCCTTGGGTATGTCTAATGAGATGGCATGGACAAACAGGATGGCTGGGTTCACTGAAGCTTGGGTTTCTGCCAACAAAGGACAGAGGGTCACAGGTATTAAAGATATTTGCAAATGTCTACATATATAAAAAGCCAGTGACCAGAACGCAGTAACAACCTGAATGACTGGTCGCTATGACGCCCAGTCATAGCGACCAGCAAACCAGCCTGACGGGGGTGGGGCCGGCTGGCCAACCTCCTATGGTCCCTCCCCCAGTCAGCCCCGCCCCTGATTGGCCTTTCCCACCCTTATTGATGGCGAGGCAGCCCGCCAACCCCACCGTGACCCTTCCCCTGGCCGGTCCCGCCCCT